AATACACAAGAGAGATTGGAAGCTTTGTCACAACTCTGAGTTTCACGTATTACTACGATCATCAGGCAACTAAAATCACAATATAAAACCGCTGACTGTATACGATCTGGTTACGTTGATGGACGGCGGCCGTAGTCGTAACATGTTTGTCCTTCTCCTTTTCTATCATAAAATTATTGGTGCGTCTTTGGCCGCACCTACCGCACCGGTTCCGACACCCCTAATATTCCTAGCAGAAACGTTGTGTACTTGCCTCTTATCAGCGACGGATGAAGAGAGCGCTTGTATTCTAAATCAACAAAATTAATATTTTGGCGCATACCGGCGAGTTTTAAGTTTTCGGCTATTTTCGGATTGATGCTTTGAGATCAGAAATAATAGTAGCGGCCGAAATTTTGATTCGCATGACACAGTATGACTGGCATTCAGAAGATGTACAGGCTGAAATTTAATGTGGGCGAAAAGGATTTTGGCCCAAGGACTAGGAGGCTGAAATTGATACAGTAGACATGCAATTCAAGTTGAACCTTACACTTCACTGAGCTGCTGCCCTTGGCTTCAGGAGAGGAGTACTCCAAGGCCACACTTCTGCCTACGACTTACACTTAAACAACTCGGCGGTTCAGCGAACTTGTGATAGTGAGAACCCACACAGATGAGGCCCGAGAAAGGCCGGACGAGGTCGACCAGTCCCGGATCGCTGTGGACTCGCCGGAGTGCGACTGAACAGGGCGAGGGGGGAAACACTGCAAACATGTAGTGCTTGAATCGGCCACTAGACAAAGGGTTTCCTCTCGCGCGCACGCTATTTCAACAGTACTATACTAGTAATTGCCTACTATTGCCGTATTGGCGCTGTTATTCTTATTTTGCGTCCGAAATCATGGAAGTAATAACGTTACCATGGTTACGTAGTCTCGTAGATCTTCTAGTAAAATAAAATAATGCACGTGCACGTAACTAGATCTACATGTACATGCACGTGTACGTGTATGTGTATGAGACTATGAGTACAACAGTTTTTACCAGGGAGTAGTAAAAAATTACTCCCTGGTTTTTAGCTAGAGAAATCCAACCTCATGAATAAAGACTTTTTTGCGCAGCGTCCGATCCGAGTAACAGAGCATGAAGATGAACATGACTCTGTAGTGCTGAGCCCGTGTAGCGCCCATGCGAGCGCTATAGTATTTTCTTCATGAAGCTGGATTTCTCCGGCCAGGACTGTGCTACTACTAGACGGTCTACCATTATAATACAGTCAGTACCAGGTCTACCTGCCGCAAATACTACTACTGTAGTACTACTGTAGTACTAGTACTAGTAGTCTTATCTGTGGGGGGGGGGGGGGGGGGTAGTGTGGGCCTATTCATTTCCAGCCCGGATTTCTGAAGGTATTATGTGTGTGCAACATTGCAAGTGTGCACGGGGTTCTGATTTCACTTTCCAGACAGTCAAAAGCCCTGCGGCATTCCCCCCTCCGCTATTCCCCGCTGCCCGCATAGCACACATCACGCACTAGTGAAGGCCTTAGGCCTGTGGGGATTGCCCTATCAAAAATTTGATAATAATAATAATAATAATAACGTTGAACGGCCTCTGCTGGGATGACGACTACACCATAGCTCAGTGGTTAGAGCATCGCTGGCTACAACAAGGGTCCCTGGTTCGAGTCCTGGTGGTGGCAGTCAATTTTTTCTTCAGACTTTTCCCGTTTGTCTCTTTCCCTCAAACCAGTTTAAAATAACATACGCGGTTGTCTTTTTGCTTTCGTTCTTACTTCATGGTTTCACGCGATTTATAGTGTTGTGAATAAACCTGTTCTCAAAGGAACAACACAATAATAGAAAAGCTGACAGGATCGCTTTTCTAAATACTGGCCGGGGGGGGGGGGGGGGGGGGATACACGCACTCGACCGTCAGTATAAGCTCTTGAATATATCCCAGGCCCTCGTACGCCTTAGTGTGTGGATCGATCCATGAAATATCCCGATAAGCTGTCGACGATGGAAAGGAAAACGCTCACTTCGGGATTTAGCGGCTACAATCGGCTGTTCCCATGGAACAGCCGATTGTAGCCGCACACACAAATCCGACTGCAAACGCAATTCGGCTGGACTATTCCAAAGAAAATGACAAGGCCATGCCAGTCGTAACCTGGCTATCTCCCAGCCTTATCCCCATGGTTACGGACTTACGGCACATTCCAGCTCCGTTGAGTCGGCCACATGCACAGCAACGCTGGCACCGCGCACCACTTGGCAACTGCACTGCTCACACACGACTACATTATACAGTAAAACCTGTCAGGGCGACCACTCGTAGTAGGCGACCACCTGTCCTAGAAGGCCACTGAAACCAAGACCAAGGGTTGCTATTTCTAGTCAAAATGAGAAATGACCCTGGATAAGGAGACCACCTGGTAACAGAGACCACCTGGTAACAGAGACAACCTGGTAACAGAGACCACCTGGTTACAGAGATCACCTGGTTACAGAGACCACCTTTTGAAGGTCCCTGGAGCGGTTGTTTGAGATAGGCTCCACTGTACTCGTGCAGAGCCTTGCACCAGCGATTGCATACCGTACTGTCTGGTGTTGAAGAACTGAGGGTTCAGGCTCGTAAGCTATAGGCCGTTCTGCTTTTTCATGCAGAACTGTCTATACAGACGAGCCCCCTTATACAAAAGGGCACCCTCCATGTGGTGAAATTCAAGCCTGTTTGTTCTTCAGCAGCTAACAGTAGGATACACTTCTAACCAGTACTTGCGGTGTCAGGACACCATGTTACGACTACGAGCGATATAAATACAAAGAGAGGGTAACGCGAAACAATTCGGTCTCAAAGAACAGTACTGTTCTAGATTCAAGGCTAGCGTAGCATCAAGAAGAAAATAAGCTTGGCATTTTAGAGACAGGAAACCTTCAGTCACTAATGTTATGATAGCTAAGCAAGAGATAAAAGAGAGAGAGAGGGAGAGAGAGAGAGAGGGGGGGGGGGGGGGGGAAGGGGGCTGTTTGCAGGATGTGCTTGAGGGCCGCATATTGCACAGCAAGGCGCACAGAGTGTGGGCAATGAGCACTGCAGACGTTGTGAGCACTTGCCGTTATGTCCATTATCAGGTGTGTTGGCATGTACCCAGCATGAGTTTTACTTAACCGGACACTTGCACAAACCATGCTCATCACACAGGGCATGTCTACAGATCAACACTTGCATACATGTGCCGACACATCGTTCAAGTCGCACATGCTACCAAAACGATCGCCAGGTCATCGTGCCATGACAAACACGGCTGGTATATTCTCTACGCTCTCAAACGGAAACACACACACACACACACACACACACACACACACACACACACACACACACATGCTCAAACACGCACCACAGACGCGCTCACGTGCACACAGACACACACAGACACACACACACACACTGCTACACTACCTTGGGGGAGGAATAGACGCACTCATGCATAAACCGAAACGGGCGACCGTTCCGACCTACCGACAGCTGCTGCCTCCAACATTGCCGCCACGAGCCCCTTGGCAAGAAGATCCGGTGACTCGTCAGGGTTAGACACCTCCACCACGGCCACGCGCCATCCACACGCCTCCAGCAAATTCTTCTTGCGGCGCAGAGCGCCGAAGAGCTCACCAGTGAGACGTAACCGCATCGCGTCGGTCGTGACGAGCAGCATCACGGGCGTGCCGTTGAGATCTGCAAACTCCATGGCGCCTGCGCTGGCGTAGTCAAATCCCGGCGGCCAGGCGCGGAACGTGCCGTCCTGGCCGACCAGCGTGCACAGCTCGCCGCTCAGGTGGCGCACGTACGGCGCATGCGTGACCTCCGCGGGTCGCGTCCCCGCCACCCGCAGCACGCCCTCGTGCACCAGCGGCGCGCGCATGTCCTGCACGGCACGCCGCAGCTGCTCGGACACAGCCGGCGTGAGGCCGCCGACCGAGTGCAGGCCGTGCAGCACCTGCTCGAGCAGCGCGCTCCGCTCCGGCACGTTTACCAGCATGAAGTCCGTGTACCAGTGGCGGCGATTCAGCAGCCACGCCGGCGGCATCAGGTCAAACACCACGCTGACCCACAGCAGCTGCAGGCAGTACTTGGACTGGACGTCGTCCTCCGCCACCGCTCCCTGCATCAGCAGGCCGGCTAGCGTCGCCAGTGGATGTCCCAGCGATGCGTACGTGTACAGAACGTCGCGCACAAACACGGCGCCGACGGAGAACGATTCCGTGCGACATGTCGCCACCAGGTAGGCTTCCAGGGCGGTGAGAAATCGCTCGTGCTTCACACGCAGTGGCAAGATCGCTTTCACGGCGCACCGAATGTTGAGCCATCGCTGCGGATTTAAGTCGGTCGCCGACCCGGACGGCTTGGCTTTCATCGACGCAGTGCTTCGCTCCAGAGACGTGGCAAAACTCTCGTACACTGCGTGAACGATGCCCACACCAACCGCTCGCTGCTGGTGCAGCGGGCCTAGCGACGCAAGCAGGGAAAACAAGGAGTTTGGGTCGAGCAGCGCGGTCACGTGATCGCTCACTGCGACGGCGTGAGTGTTGAGCGTGTCCACCACTTCGGCACTGCAGTAGTTTCTCACGTACTCCAGCACCAGCACGACGGCACGGAACTGCACCACGGCTCCCTTGCGGACGCCGATCGGCAGCTGTGCCAACGCCGCGTGCAGAAAGCGTACGAGCTGCGCCGACCGAGCCGTGCGCAGGTGCTCCAGCACTGACGTGGCTCCGGCCAGCACGGTCAAATCTCGCAGGATGGTACCCGAACTGCATGATTTATCCACGAACTCTCCTAGCTGGCTCTCGATGTTGGCCAGTAGTGGCGTTGCCAGGGTCGGATCCATGCTGGCTGAAAATCCCTCAACACTACGCATCAGTGACTGGCGAATCTGCTTAGCCTCTGCCACGTTGTATTTCCGAGTCGGACCTATATTCGGCACGTTATCACCAGTGTCCACTGAGGTGGGGCTTGCCTCTGCAGCTCCAGCATCCCAACGTACACTGCTCGTTTGCACGAGTCGGAGTTGCGTCAAAGATGCTGCTGAGCTGGTTGGTACTGGCACAGGCGGCAGCCATCGAGCCTGTGCTAAGGTTCGGGGAACCGCGAAGCAGTTCCGCCTGCTAAAGCACCTTGCAACGATCATGATGCATTTCCACCTACCTGAGCTGACATGAGATTCGAACAATTAATTTCTGAGTTTGCACAAAACAAAATTGGAATTTTTGGAGCGACAGCCTCTATTTCCTCGATAACAAGCACCAAAACTCAGAGTCGACTGTCAGTTGTGATTGTAAAAAAAAACGCATGGGCAAGATCAAGAGCTAGTGATGACTCTCCAGCTAATAGGCTTTAACTTCAAAACAACCCACAAGAAGAAATTGTTGTACTGCGGTGTGGATTGGATCTTTTTGAAACAACCCTCGACTCAAAAATGTAGCTCAGGCCATAATATAGTACGACAGCGTCGTCGTTTTTTTCATGCGTTCCTATCGCCGCAGAAAAAGAATGTAAAAAGACAAAAAAAAGTCTACAGCACGAGGTATTCCCAGGCGGTCACCCATCCAAGTACTAACCTCGCCCGACGTTGCTTGACTTCGGTGATCGGACGAGAACCGGTATTTTCAACGTGGTATGGCCGTAGACATTCTAGTTGGTCTTGCTCCGACTTTTATTAATTTTATTTCAGCCGCTTCAATCCCAGCACCAACCTGCTGTGCTGAATTATTTCTGGGCCGCCCAGGATCTATGAGGGGGTTGTGTGATACCAAGAGTTCATAACCCCCAAGAGTGTGCAACGGGCATAGACCCAGCGCTCGGCGAAATTCCTACATTACGTCATGCGCAGCTTGTCATCCGAGGTAAATTTGGGTTCTTTGCGATTTCTGGAAAGTACACCCTGAACCGCTCCTAACTCAAGGCTGTAGCCTCGACTTTTCGAAGCTTTTTTTGAAGACATTTCGGACGTACAAGTCGTAGATCGTACTTTCTCAAAAACAAACCGTGGCTCTTTCTCAGCCAAGCATCCATGGACATCGCGACAGGAAGAAGTGAGGACGCTGTTAAAAATATTGCATTGCCGTCGAGGACAATCATTCTGATAGCTGTGTAACTCAGCCGAAAAATGCTCCTTCGACGTATTCTCTCAAGTTCCTCAACCATTTGAAATCATCTTCGAGGAAAGCACCGGAAATATGCCGATGGCCTGGGGAAGAAATTGTTCTTGAAGAGACTGAATGAAAGAAGAAGGGGATGAAGAGTCACCATTGCATCGAAAAAATAAATAGTTTTGTCTTTAGGATCGTGTGCTTTGTTTCACTTTTGCTTCTTGAGACTCAGAGTCAGACTAGAATCGATCGCAGTTTAGGCAGTTTACCCTGGGGAGCATCCTGGTTTGACTGTAAATCTTAGAAGAATTCATCGGCGTGACTCATCGCACTGCACCAAAAATGACGCAATGAAGGAATTCCGCCGAGCGGGCTTCCATACAGGGACTGATCAGGAGTTGCACACTCTTGGGGGTTATGAACTCTTGGTGATACTGATAGTAGAGAGGTTCCGCATAACGTAATTACGTTAGTAAAAAACGCATGAATAACGAATGCAAGGTAACAGAATGCCAGGTATCTGCGGACAAAAGTAGTACTTCTCGAAATAATACCACGAGCACGCTATCAAGAGTACATAACCCCTCCCCCCCCCAGAGTGTGCAACGCCTGATCCTGCTCTGCATAGGGTCGGGTCGAGCGTAATCGGATCTTTGCGTCATAATTATACCGTATCAGATCCGATTAGTCGGATTACGCTCGACCAAGACCCTATACAGAGCTGGATCAGAGTTGCACCCTATATGTACATGTACTATTGTACTACAGGGTGATTCCTAGATCCCTGATCAAGCACCGGTGACCCTCCGTTGTCTGCTGCACACACTACTTCACGTCCTACCCAGCATGCATGCAGGATGATGCGGCAGACACACTTGGCACCATGCACAGCAATTCTGCCGTGGACGTCACACCGGCAATACACGGAAGCAGGGCACGCAATTCGTCTTGCGAACAATCTGCTGCAGGACTTTCACTGCCTGCGATCGCCTGGTTACGTCACCGGCATGCAGGATGGACACATGCACATACACACGAATGCAGACACACGCACATACACACACGCACGCACATCATGCGTACAGCACCACATGCAGGCAGCGGCCCGAACCAGAGCTACGCAGTTCGCATTCAGATTGTTCTTTCGTAGTTTACGATGTCGACAGTTTGGTGTCAGCGAGCTGCCGAGCACACAAATAAGTGCGCCAGAAACACCAGAACCATGCAAGAAAGAGTATATCCGTTTACAAGAAAAGGCTAGCAGTATTAATTTCAATGGTAGCAAATCGGACCATGGTCAAAGAACAGGATCTGCGATGGATGGTGATGCAATGTCGCTGGCCTTGCATTTCTTAGACACAGAGCGCTCTCTCAACCAGGACGCACGCCATAAGCAAACGAACAGCTCCGGTGAGGAGCTTGACTGTTGTTGTTGTTGTTGTTGTTGTCGTTATCGGTGGCGCTGTTCTGTGGAAACCTGTACTAGTGTATCCACCCATCCAGCCAACAGGGGCTTGACAGAGGGACGATAAGGATTGGGCTCGGGCATCTATTTTCCCCCTTCTTCTTCAAAGTGCGTCTGTCATCTCCGGAACAGCCTGAGAACGAGCAAAACACAAAATCAAAACGGACAATTGAAAACATTCAACAGGTGTTGTGCAGACAGCAGGTACTGAAAATCGACAAACCTTGGCCAGTGAGAAACTTTGGCCGATCTCAAAATAAATTTGCTTCGCGGCCATCAGACTTTGGCAGCTGGGTGCTTCCCCCAACGAAATCAGTGGATAACAACAGGATAGTTTTAGTTCTCACATGCCGTCACGGCCCAAACTTGCATTATTCGGATCCGGTGAACAATTTCCGACTCGTGATCTACTTTGGTTGATTGGCACCAAGCAACAAAAGTCGTAGACTTGCCATACACCAAATACCCCCCCCCCCCCTTCCAACACAAAACAATAATGGGAATAATCCTCCAATACCGAAAGCACAGTCAATGTACTAGCCTAGCTGAGGAAAAAACGGGTCAACGGGATGAGTACGTAGTACTACGTACCTTGAACAAATCAGCCACCAGACCAAAGTCGGACACTGGCACACAGACAGGAGACAGACAGCACACAGATCGTCAAGGATTAGCTGTCAGCACAACCATCCAACACTGGCACACAGAAGAAGAGTGTCTACGGGTCGAAGTGCTCCGTGCATGATGCGCAAAGCTTTGGTTGCACCGGATTTTCGTCACCACCCCACACTGAAACAGCAGGGGCACTAGTTTTCAGGTGTACCATGGACTGCCTGTGCTACAGCGCTGGCCAGAGAAATCCAACCTCATGAATAAAGTAGCGCCGCGTTCGAGTGCACAGAACAGTATGCGTAGTGCTAGGGATGCATGGTGCCCGGCAACGCTATTTTATTCATGAGGTTGGATTCCTTTGGCTAGTACTGTAGTTGGTCGCGGGTACGCTTAACCTGGACACTCGGCTAATCACTGTAGCATGGGCAAAATTCAGCGCTGGTCTAGTTTTAGCGATGTCAGTGACAGGAGTGGTTTTGCTAGCTAGCCAAATGAGAATCTGTAGTCGCCAGGTCGGTATTCACCGGACTGTTCTTTCGACTTGAGACTCTGGTCGCTGTAACTCATCAATGAAAAATCTTTCGGAATGGTCAAACAGATAGCTAAAACCGAGCGTTTTACAGCAGTTTCAATGACAGCCTGGCGTGGACCCGGTCTTCGGCAACAGCTGTGTGGAATGTGCAAGAGTAACATTGGGTTTACTGTCCATTCAAATAAAACAGTACCGCAGGCTTGTAAAATTTTGGGTGTCAGGACTGCTTCTGCACACATTTTGCTACGGTACACTCAGTGCCTGCCCTGGTTTTTGCAAACCTGTCCGAATTTCAAATTCCCTGACACCCAAGCTTCGTGAACATGAGTTACTCAACAGCACACGAAGTCCCACGATAAAGTTTTTGAACCAACTATTCACACTTAGTGTGGCGTTGTCAACAGAAGGTGCCAAGCCAAGCACACGTGAAAACGCTAAAATCGGAAGAACTTCAGTTGGCCGAGGGACGGGCAGCAGAGAACACGAGCACCTACCTTGGAAGATCGGTGCTTCCTCGTCCTTGTTGATGGCAACAATGATCTGTAGAGGATAACGGTAGAAGCGATCACAGACAAGGGTGAGTGCCACTGCTCGTGAGCGCACGGTTAGGCCAAGAATGCCACAGCGTTACAGAACGTGACAGTATAGGTCTACCCCCGCTAGAACGACATCGGTCACATGACAGTAGAGAGGTTAAGATGCACACTATTTCTGACGTGACGCGCAATTTCACGTCAAAATGAGTGAGAGAGAGAGAGAGAGAGAGAGAGAGAGAGAGAGAGAGAGAGAGAGAGAGAGAGATCAGCTGACAAGTGCATACAGAAAGGGCTTGCGTACATGTAACAAAAAGAAAAAGGTGCGGCGTTATCAAGGGAACAGATGAGTACTGTCACCACAGACAGACGGAGAGAATGGATCTAATCAAGATCCTCACATACCTTGCTGTCCTTCATACCAGCCAAATGCTGGATGGCACCAGAGATACCGACGGCAATATACAACTCCTAGACCAGTCACACACATATGAGCACAGCACCGAACGGCCGAGTCAATGAATATCAGCATGGGCGGAAATAAGGCAGCCATAGTGTCAACAAATTAGCGATGCATGTAAGCTTGGCGCCCAAAACTGGAAACATTCCTACAAAACTACATACAGCCGTAGGTACACAGTTTTAAAGCAGCAATGAAGGTAACGTTGGCTAGTAGAGACCTTCAACATCACAAGATGAGGTGGGGCCAGGTCTATACCATCTGAACAATGTTCCTCAGAACATGTGCAGCGTTTGCCCTTTGTTCAGCCCCCTGCCCCCCTGTCTCTGTTCTTACACATGTTGCTCATGGATTCCTACTGCAATGCACCAGCCTACAAATACCCCCCCCCCCCCTTCCCACCCACTTGAAGATAACATGTTCTGCTAGGTATTTGTGCAAGCCATAAGGAGCTGGTGCTTCCCCTTTTTCCAGGCTCTCAAACACCACCCGAACTCTGAACATGCGCGACCAGAGGTAGTGTATTTTCATTGATACCAAGGGTGGTGGTGGTGGTGCGGTGACTTACGGGAGCGACAATCTTGCCAGTCTGTCCAATCTGCATGTCGTTGGGAACCATACCGGCGTCGACAGCGGCACGAGATGCACCAACTGTATACGGAAAAAAGGAAGAAGACAAGAGTGCACACACACCATTGGACCATTGGACCATTGGACGCCCATCGCCGGAGGCGATGATAGCGATGCTACAGCAGAAGCCATAGCAGCTTGTGCTGGGATTGCACCATTCAACAGCTTGCAAGGCTGAAGAATTGACCGCCACTATTCAGCCTGGCCACACACACACACACACACACACACACATACACACGAGCAAAACCAAAGAATTTGATATATGAGCTGGACTAAGCAAGGAAGAAATCTGGGGAGAGGGACAGGGAGATAGATAGAAAGAGAGAGAGAGAGAGAGAGAGAGAGAGAGAGAGAGAGAGAGAGAGAGAGAGAGAGAGAGAGAGAGAGAGAGAGAGAGATTGTCACCCTTTACATGACTACAAGTCTGATCATGCACACAGTAAGAAATATAACTATGGCATCCGATGGACACATACCTCTACTCCCAACACCGCATACAGTTGAAGAAGCAGATACATCGCAAGAAAAGCTCCAGCTACACACAATGCAATGCATTTCACTCAAACTGCAGAGGGTGGTGAACAAGACTTTCCCCTTACCTGCAGCACCAAGCTTGTCAGCCATTTTGTAGAGAAGCTCAAAGTTCTCTCCGTTCTTCATACCACGCCCTGTGGAGGAGGGAAGGAGAGAGAGAGAGAGAGAGAGAGAGAGAGAGGGAGAGAGAGAGAGAGAGGGAGGGAGGGAGGGAGAGAGGAGAGAGAGAGAGAGAGAGAGAGAGAGAGAGAGAGAGAGAGAGAGAGAGAGAGAGAAGAGAGAGAGAGACACACACACACACACGCATGCACAAGAGAAGCGAGAAAGAAAAGAAAGTCAGGCAATGGTTGAAGATCGAGCGTGACACCGAGAAAGAGAACGAGTGAAGAAAGAGCCATGCACACAGCACAACACACAACACATACAGTACACACGATGAACACAAGTAAGACATGACCCAACGTGTAATGTTGTCTTCAATACAAGCAGTACCCTCCCCAAAGCATGGCTTTATCTGCCTGCGAATTGATCTCTGGAGAAGGAAACAGCAGTGGAAACTGGAAAGCCAGAACGACGACTAGCAACTTACCACCAGAGATGACAATCTTGGCAGAAGACAGCTCCGGACGGTCGCTCTTGCTAAGCTCCTGTCCGACAAACTTGGACAGGCCTTCAGGAGTTTCGGCCGCGGGTGCTAACAACAGAGGGAGACAGACCAAGCGGACAAAGCAAAGAGAGGGCAAGAGCAAAGACAAACATGTAAAAGGAACATAATGTCATGTACCACACGCACATTCGCAAGAGGACAGACAAGCACAGGGAACTGCTGGTACTGTGATACGGTACGTATGTCCACGTGCACAGGTTTACGCATGAATGCGGGTCACATGATCACCATCAGAAGATTATAGTGATGTGATGATGATTGATTATACTATAATAGTGCTGTGCTGAGGGGTGTTGGCACTAGGGCGGTTTAGTTCCCACGTAACGGAAACGCGTACGTGGGTGATCCACGTAAAGTGGATGAAGGGCATCCACGTTGCAATGTTGTGTTTAGTCACACGGAACAAACAAAAGCATGAAGCGAAAGGCCCAAACCTGGTCAAAGACGAAGCTACCCGGGCCTAAGAAGCTCATCGAATATTTTGATTTCGTGCTTCGGAAATTTCTTCAGCTGAGCACCCTCACAGCTCGCAAAATGCGCTCCATTCTGATTTTCACCCACGTTCTGGCGGAACGTGGGTGAGCCTCCATACACGGTATGTCGTGAATCAGAAAACGTCTGTACGTGGGTCACTGAGTATCACGTGGTACACACACGTAAAGTACCCACGGATTACGTGGGACTAAACCTCCCTACTGCGAGTGCTGCAACGACTTACCGGTTTCTTCTGTTGCAGAGTTGCTGGCCACCTCAGCAGCGGGGAACGCGGTGGTACGCACGGTGAACACCTTCACGTCATCCGCCGACTTGACGGTGGCAACAGCATTGCCTGGAGAGACAGGAGGGGCCGAGTGCACACACACATGCACCCAGACACACAAACACACCATGTACCATGGACCAGGTATACGCCCGTTGCAAGAGAAGCACGCAAATCTGCAAATGCACTGGACGTCCACCCACAGATTTTCTCTTATAGCAACAATAGCGGATCTGATTCTGATTGAAACAGATCAATACAAGCGCCAGATAGTTGTCTAATCCACATAACTGGCGAAGCCATGTGAATCGACCACCAATGCACACCTGGTCTACATCGCACGGAGTACATCGGAATAGGACGGCCAAGACAGTTACTTATGCACACCCTACACTTGCTGGGATAACCAGTATAGACAGAACGCTGCTTTGATAAAAGCACACACACACACACACACGCACACACTCTCACACACAGTGGCAAACTTGCTCATGCCAGACACTGACTGGTCATTCGCAGGTCATTCGAGAGAGAGAGAGAGAGAGAGAGAGAGAGAGAGAGAGAGAGAGAGAGAGAGAGAGAGAGAGAGAGAGAGAGAGAGAGAGAGAGAAAGAGAGAGAGAGAGAGAGAGAGAGAGAGAGAGAGAGAGAGAGAGAGAGAGAGAGAGAGAGAGAGAGAGAGAGAGAGAGAGAGAGAGAGAGAGAGAGAGAGAGAGAGAGAGAGAGAGAGAGAGAGAGAGAGTGGAGGGGTGTGAACTATCAGGCAGTATAGAAAGCAAAACACAAAGCGAGATGCAATAGGCCACCATTGGCCAGCATCACCACATCACACAGCTACAGATGAACCGTCAAGTATGAAGCAATTTATGGAGCTCACCGCATCACAGCCAACGAGAGAGGACAGTCAGCCAAACAAGTAATTGACAACCAACGGGGAGTCAGCAGACAAAATATTTATAAAACTAGACAACCTGATCAGCAGCACATACCGGCATAAATAGTCCTAACAAACGTGTCCTCGCCTTCGATGCCAGTGACATCGGAGATCTGATTCACGTCCAGGAGAGCAGCGACGCGCGGCAGAATATTCTGTGAGAAACGGATAGCATTAAAAAAAAAAAGAGAAAAAGACAAGAGGTAAGAGTCACTTTGCAACAGTCACAGGCTCACAGCGGTAGAAAGAGGATACTCAGGGGTTACACTTTAGGACAGATTGGACCACCTGGGTTCTTGAAACAACTCCCCCCCCCCCCCCCATGGGCGGTAACAGGACATAGTCAGCATGCTCAGATGCCCCCCCATCCCAAATAGGTAGCAAGACAAAGTCAGCATGCTCAGATGCCCCCCCCCCCCCCCCCCACACACACACACACACATACAACCACATGCCATGGGTAACAGAACATGGTCAGCATACTACTAGTACCCTGATGACCCCCCCCCCCCCCCTCAATATGTAGCAGGACATGGTCAGCATACCCAGGTGACCCCCCCCCCCCCACCCCCCATCCGTCCCTGCCCATGCATACGCCTGAAATGGAAAACACACAGGCATCCTGTCCTGGATGAGTGTGAACATCGACCATACCCTGTACTGCAGCCGATATGTTCAATGCGCGTGTCAAGACGAATATCGAACACAGATGAACACTGATGTCTGGTAGCGTTCTTAATATCAGCAAGAGTACATAACCCCCAAGAGTGTGCAACTCCAGCTATGGGGTTTGCGACGGCAGAACTTCACATCACGTGATGAACCCGTGCACATTATTGGCACCCTGTGCATGATAGATACAGGGTTGTACGCAGCCCAGCTTTGGGTAAAACTCTCTCGTGATCACTTAGTTTACACTGTTTGCCAGTGTAACCTTTCGGACCATGTCAAGTGATGTGAAGTTCTGACGTCGCAGCACTGCATAGAGGTGGTGCAGGCAGTCTGAGTTGCACTCCTGGGGGTTATGTACTCTTGGTATCAGCATGCTCACCTTTCCCATGGCGGTGTGTCCAGCAGCGATATGGCTGAAGTTGAACTGCTTGTGAGCGGCAACAACAACCGGAGTGACCGTCTCTGTAGGGACAGGATGATGAAAAGGGGAAAGAGAGAGAGAGAGAGAGAGAGAGAGAGAGAGAGAGAGAGAGAGAGAGACAGACAGACAGAGACCGTGAGTGTGAGTGAGAGAGAGAGTAGAGGACAGGAAGACACACAGAGTGAAACAGACAGAGCGAGAATAAGTACAGCAGTTTTGCAAAGTACGCGTTCACTCACAAAGCTCACGGGACAATGCATACACCTACAACAGTTAACGAAGCAAACAAGTGACCGACCTGGTAGGGCACCCTCAAAAGCATCACCGTTGGCCAGGAGTACACGTGTAACACCATCAACCTTTCTCAAGTCGGAGACCACCTGAGCAGGGCACAGAGGGAGAGAGCAAGCCACATGCAAGCCAAAACAACTTTGTTAAAAAGACATCCGAGAATGCATTAATTAACAACGGCCCATTCAACACCGCAGTGTTCCGCATTAGTATAGCGCTGCTTGATGAAACCTGGCCCAGCGAGTCAGCACATGCCAGGCGCTACACAGGAAGTACCGCAAGCAAAGCAGGGAGCTTGTGAACTCTGATAAAGGTCTATCCTCGTTAGTACGACATCGGTTACAACTTACAAGACGAATCTTATTGGTAGACAATGATCTAAAATACCCTGACGCCTGAAACGCAAGTCCGGATAGTAGATAATACTCATTATAAGACAAAGAATTTGAACCCGAGTTCAGGTGTGAAGTTTCATAAATGAATTAGCCCCCCCCCCCCGGGTTGTCTACTAACGAGGGTAGACATGTGCTGTGTATGTTGCTTTGCTATGGAAACAACGCAAGCAATGCAGGAACACGGTAGCACAGCCAGACAGCACTGCTGTAACAGTAGACTGCAACTGAAACACAGACGGACCACCGTGTTGCACGCTCACCTGGTCAGCGGGACTGGAGGCGGCCACCAGTGCGGTGATGTCGCCACCCATGGTCTTGGCCGCCGTGACGGCGCTCAGCGTGGCCGCGTTCAGCGTGTTGTTGCTGTGTTCGGCCAGGATCAGCGTGCTGGCATTGCGCTGTGCCAACTGCACCGTTCAAAGCAACGGTGTAAACACAGATGCAGAGGGACAGACAGAACCACACAGACGCAGCAGCACCACGCACACAGTTGACACACATAGGTAGCAGATCAAAATTCAATTTACAGTACGTGTAGAATGTCGCAATGCATACGCTGTGTAGAGGTCTCTGGCCCACCCAGAAGCAGTGGCCTCTCGTAAGGACTACGCATTTCCTGTGTAGGGTGTGTGCATAAAATGCTGCTGCTGAAAATGCCAGCATTTACGTAGCCCATAACTGAAGAACCCGTTTAGTTTTTACCAACAGATTCGGCGTACATGAGTGTACGTGTACATGTAACAACACTGTGGATGCAGTTTTCTAAACAACACGCGCCATACATCCAACATTTCCCCTCAAGCCGATCGTGATTGCTGTTGGGTTCATTTTCTGCCCAGCCCCACTCAAAGAAACTGTATCCTCATGAAAAAGTAGCACACACAAACTATCATTCTCGTTCCTTGGCAGGCACTCCACATACATAGATAAGTGGAAGAACAGTGGAAGATACGATTTCGGTGATACACATTCAAATGGAACATGAGAAAAGCTAGCTATTTGAGAACGATCATGACACTCACAAACAATCAATTTCTACATTTGTGAGCGTGACTTGTAAGGTCAGAACAAAGGAAGGGAGTGAACTTCAGTACATGTACTTGCCTTGCTGAAGCCACGCAGGCATCGGGAAGCACTTGAGGCGAACATTATCCAAGAGAGTCAAGGCAAAAGTCGACCAACCGACAGTGCAACCAGAAAAATAGGGATGTAAATGCTTCACTTTCTGAGCAAAACCTTTGATGGCAGGACCTTTCACCTACTGAGTCTGTACTCTTTTCGCTCTCTGCCAAGTTCCCGCAGAGTTTACAAAGATGTGCGGTAACTCGTGGGATTCTGCCGTGTTATGAATGTATTTTCAGAACTTCCTCGTGTGAATCCAAAACCAGTGCGAGTTTGGAGGTGTGTCAGGGTGGTCACGACGTCGCGACATGATCCGAGTGAATGAAAAATTGAAAATCAAGGAAGTGCTGGAAATCAAAATGACAAAAAGTGAAATGGACAGACGACAAGACTCAAGACTGAGTCAATTATCAAGAGCATGAAAATCACGTAGGTTTGCCTTGGCGTAGATCTCAGGATGGAGGAAGGTGGTGATGGGGGCCAATCGCTCAGGGGCCGGTACGTTGTCGTGCTGAGTGGCAAGCGAAAATCTGGCAAGGACTATTTCGCCGACGTTCTCAAGAAAAGGTGGATATTCAAATTTTGAACACAAAACTATTGTTATGATTCTACATACTGAGTAACTTCCCCCCCCCCCCCCCCCCCGGGTTATGTACTCTTGATTCTACGTTACTGTACTGAGGGCTTGTTTCCTAGAGGAATTGCCCAAACGTTGTGCGGTACGAAATGTACATGATCAGTGGCATTAGTACTGCATGCTGTGTGATTTTTTTACATAGTGACAAGGGGTAGAAATGTGTGTTCTGCAGATTATAATAGTATTGCCTTTACACTCATACCTCGTTTATCCGGGCAGTCCGGGACCTTGCACTGCCCGTAACTTTGAAATGTCCGTAACTCCGAATCATATACATCTTGATGGGGAAAAGGCCATCGATATGGCATATGACGTCAATATTTCTACGAAAAGTGACAAAAGAGTAGTAATATTTCCCCTGAAACTCGCCCAAATAGTGCCCGGTAGACCGAAGTGCCCGTAACTTCGGGGTCCGGATAACCGAGGTATGAGTGTATTAGCTTTTTCAATATCATTTAAACACACGGCGAGGAGACAACAATTGTATGACTGCAATCAATAAGACAGGCTGAATCGACATGATTTTACTCTATTCGTCGACATAACAATAATAAAAAACGTTTTTTCAGCGCATGATTCCGAATATCTATCTGCGACTGGGCGTATCTCGATTTCAAATATTTAAACAGGCGACGAGGAGACGACAACTTTATAGCCGCAATCAATAAGACAAGCCGAATCGACATGTGTACTGAGTGGACGAGTCACAAGGCCGTGAAGGGGACTGCTTTGAATGTGTATGGTGTCCACACAGGCGCTGGATGCGGAAGTCGGTGTTACCATGGTGGTGACATTCTGTGAACCCTGTTGACGAACGCACCAACGTGCGTTGTATGAAATTATTATTTGTTGTGTTTCTGAGGAAAGATCAAGTCTTGCGGGTCGTTTTCAGGATTAGAACGTTTCTACCGCGTATACCGGCGTACAGTGTAACCTGGTATATGCGACCTCTGGTTTTAGCGACCGTTTTTCCATGCGCGGACAGTTCTACACAGAAACTGCACCGGATACGGCGACCACCTGCCTTGCGCGACCAGCGACCGGCTTTTAGTGTACCAAGTGCCATGTTGGACCTGTACACAGCGACCGAAACCGGCCAAAAGTGCCATCTTGGCTGGCAGGGTTGACTGCAACAAGGTTGCAGTGTGCTCTGACGCCAGTGCGTGCACTGCCATGCAGTCAACAGAAGTGACAGTGCAGGATGCACTGCATGCACTTGAGTGAGGTGTGCTTTGCCTGCACGAAAGCATTCTATGCTCCACACCTGTCCATATGAGTTATGAGTACATGGAAGTACAGTCATGCACATGTACGTGTGTGTGTACACAATCCGAATGTATGGGACCTGCTTCTAAAGACCACCTGGCTTTAACGACCACCTGGCTTTAACGACCGCTTTTGCTTGCACCGTGGGGTGGTCGCTTAAACCAGGTGTTACTGCATTTCCACCTTGTTCTGTCCTGCAGGCTCGGCGATGCAGCTTGCATTGTGCGTCTCTCTGGTCCTCTGAAGCGTGCCTATGCTGAGGTATGATTATGTCACAGCTGATGACGGATGTTTACTCATCATATCCTGTATCTGTTGGTCCGTTCTCTCCTTTTCAACTACCGTAAAGTACCGCCAGAGCGCCCCACCATCTCGTCCTTTCGTGGTCGTATTGTGGAGGTGGTCTCCTGTCTGTAGGTCATACGACACGAACTTTGTACACATATTACACGTTCTGCAGACAATCCGTACCTTCGAGTGGACACGAGCTCCACACAAAAACTGCTTTGTGTGACATTAGTACACTAAGGTTCTCACACCGTACAAACTTCGTTGCACTCTGCCATACGATTTTCCTTTCCCTGGCTGTAAATCAAGGTGGGGCGCTCTGGCGGTACTTTACGGTACTATTGGCTTGACATCCTAGTTTAAATAGGAGCAGCTGAATTGGTATTTGAGCTGATACTTAATTTTTTTTAATGTTTGTAGGACATCGCGGATCATTCCCCACAATAGTGATTTTGGGTAAGAACATGCTCTTATGTACACGGGATCGCAGTATGACCTTGGCCAGTCTAGCAGATGACGAGGTCTGATCTACTTGCGGAAGACGGGCGGGTTGAAACTGTAGCATCATGCTGTGAACTGTGTTTTTGCAACCATGCTCCCCTAGTGTACCATATGCTTGTTAAGAAGCCACATGTGTGCAATGATCCTTGCCGGTGCAAAGAGGAATGTCAGATGGTCAATTCTTCTGCTGCTCTCACACACACACTCGGCGGCCACTGGCTGATGAACCATCTCTCTGTGGGCCCGTGTGTGCGCACGTGAGTGTGTGCGCGTGCACATGTGTGCGTGTGTGTGCGCGCATGTGTGTGTGTGTATGCGTGCCCACCGCACTACAGGAGCATGGACTCGACTATCAGCGCTTGCTCGACGCCAGCGACTTCAAGGAGAAGTACCGCGAGGACATGATCGCCTGGGGCGAAGCACGGCGACGCCACGATCATGGTTTCTTCTGCCGACGAGCGGTACAGGAGGTGCCGGCCGCGTGCCGCGTCGTGATCGTGTCCGACGCCCGTCGCAAGACTGACGTGGCCTGGTTCGAGGAGAGGCGCGACGCGGCGGCGCGGGGTGTGCCGACCGTGTTCGTCAGGATTGGCGCCACGCTGGCGGCGCGCACCGCCCGCGGCTGGGCGTTCACGGCGAACGTGGACGACGCCGAGTCGGAGTGCAGCCTGGACGACTACACCGGCTTTGACGTGCTCGTAGAGAACAGCGGCGGTGATGCTGATAATGTGGACGAGGCTATACTGGATATCATGCAGCGAGCAAGAGCGGCAACAGACACAGCTGCTCTATGAGATTGACATAGTTTTTCTAGTTTTTGTTTGTTTCGGATTGTAGCTGCTCTGTCTTTTATTTTTAAATTATTTTCCCTTTTGCAATGGCTTGTAGTCATGTGCAACAACTCAAGTGCTGCTGGCAGTGCTTATACCTAGGTACGATCATAAAATTATTTTTATACTTCAGTATACCACTTTAGAAACAATGCTGTATTGCTTTTCAATGCACCGTCAAATAATGTCAGCCATCCCGAGCCGACTCGTTTGTTCCACGTGGCATGTGCACACACGTGGTTGGGTCCTGATGAGGGTCTCACTGAGATCAGATCTTGTACATCGGATCAGTGCACACACTAAGCAGGGTTGTGTCTGGTGTGCACGATAGGGAGTTGCATAGGCATGTAATACACAACTCCCTAGCTGATGTGCACGACAGCAGCCCAGGGATTGCCACTGCCCCCAGCCGTGTTAGATATCAACCTGTCAAAAAAGAGCAGGTACGGCATGCACACGTCATAGCACCAGGAGTCCATAATCCCCCAGAGTGCGCAACTTCACTTATCAGATCCGAGACAGCGAAATCCGTGTTGCACGTCATAGCGTGACGCCGTGAGTAGGGAGAGTGCATGGTGCACCACGTCGATCGAATGACGCAAGTGACGTTGGAAGTCATTTTTTGGGTCGGACTAGCTCGACCCAAAAAATGACGTACACCACGGATTACGCCGTCCCACAACCCCATCCCAGTTGCCCACTCTGGGGGATTACGGACTCTTGATAGCACCAAGAGTACATAAACCTAATGGCTGTACTCTTCATAGCACCCATACACAGTACTGTTACACTACTGTATATGCAAACAAACTCACAATGGCAACCGCACTGCACTGCACTGCGACTCACTGTTGATCTCAGGGACGAGTCGCTGAACTTGTCTGATATAGATTATACACAGGGCCAGGGGAGGGGGGGGGAGCCCAAGTAATTTAGTATGTACAATGACAGAGCGCTCAATAACACAGGAGTCAGAGCCAGAGCAACAAGCAAAAAACAACAATGGATCAAGGCATTCTCGCAACTGAGTTCCACGTGTGGTGAGCAATCATCATGCAAGGCTAGATATCGAATTATACATTTTGGGTGTGCTTCCTAAAAAAAACCCTGTTGAGTGCTATATCCACAAAAATTATAATATTTACATGCCACAGCTTCCATGTTGCTCAAATCAACATGACATTATCATAATATCTACATTTTTATGAAGCGCTACGACCCATGCGTGATCTAGAAAAGGGCCTCCGAGGTTCTTTAGAATGTGCAGCCTTGGAGTTAGCTAAGCATGGAGAGTATGTACGGACAGAAGAAATCTATTTACAATACATGCAAGGTCTTCAAGAGAGTATAATACAAGTGAAGTCTATGTACAACATGTACAATGGTCAAGGTTAATAAGAGTTAGTCTTTGCATCAAAGTTGCCTGGCATCCCTCAAGCTCATCATTTCACCATTTTCTTTTTCGTTCTCTTCAGCGATGGAGATGGAGAGGTAGCAGGCGTTGCTTGCAGGCTTCTGGACCTCTTCTTCTGTGCATCTTTCTGGCGCTGAACGTGGGCGAGAGCAAACCACACGGTCACAGACAGACAGACAGGCAGACAGACACACACACACACACACAATAAGAAACACAGGCAAGAGTGAAAGAAAGTTAAATGACCAACAAATTTAACGTTTTTTTGTTGTAATTTTGGCATGATAACGTGCAGAAAGTTTAACGATAGCTACCTGGCCACCCATCTGTATGCGCATCTTCATACACAGACATCTCCAACAGGGTTCGCAATAATGATATGAGCAACCTGCACAGTGCAAGCAGCCCCCATAGCACGGACGCCTCACCTGAACGGCATGTTCCTTGCTTTTGGTCGTGGCCTGTTCCGATGGCCGGGGTTTCTTCGAGGCGCTGGAAGGGGATGCTGCCAACGTTCCTGATTCAGAGTCTGCGTGGCCTGCCCCACTGCCGCTCTTCTTCTTCTTGCGCTTGTTCTGATCTTGCTTCTGCGAGAGAAGCACATGGTACAGTGGGTAAAGACGACCTCAGTGATGCATGCACAAACGTCAGCTGGTCCCTGCAATACCTGGGAACTACAGCCCTGGGCAGAGAAATCCGACCTCGTGAATATACAGTCAACTTTGCGTATAACGACACTCGGCGGGGCATCAGACAAGTGTCGTTATTCGCGAAGAGTCGTTATACCCCGAAGTCTCATTATTACGTATTACAGTTGGATCGGACTCTTTGCTCTGGGCATGGAAATTCTGTCGTTATTCGCGAATTGTCGTTATATCCGCATTCGTTATTACTACAGTGCATTTCAAAACTATAGACGCGTAGGGGTTTTGAAATATTTCAAATTTGGCTGGAACTTTTCGAGAATAGTTTTCGGAATATTGCTCAGGATCGCTCCACAATTACTCTCATAATAGTTTCTAAAGGATTGGATAACAGACGCCCAATTTGGAAAAATTTATGCACAAAGTGATCACAGATTTTATGTGGTATAGATGCTGGCATAACGGTTTTTGCCTAGGTAGGCGTCTATAGTTTTGAAATGGACTGTATACAGTATTAGCGAAGTTGACTGTACATGTAATAGTGCCGGGGGCTATGTGGTCCGGGCACTACACACCCTACTGTATGCACATCTGAGCGCGGCGCTATTCCCTGGTCAGAACTGTACAAAGAATCAAGTCGCTGGCTACACAATAGCATCCACTTGATCCCCCCCCCCCAGCGGATGCAGGATCTGTCCACAAATTCCCCAAACCATCCACTTGCTAGTCCTAGCCTGCCATCACTGACCGGGT